TCTGAGCAACAGTGGTTCGAGTCAGCCCGAGCTGAGCAGCCGTGAGCTGCCAACAGGTGGCGGGATGGCTCAGCTAAAAAAAAAAAAAAAAAGAAGAAAACCGACCACTAATCCAGCGTTTCTTAAAATGTGATCCAGGACCATCAACGCAAGAATCATCTGAGATGCTTGTTAAAAAAAGAAGACTTTTCAGCGGGGGCCAGAATCCTCACACACACCCAGGTGGTTCTGATTCTAAACTTTCAAAACAAATGGTTTTAATTACTTCGGTCTGATGAGCGTCGGTGTTGTATCAGGTCAGTCAGAGTTAAAAGCGCTAACAATATGAACTCTCCAGTATCAATCACCCCTGTGTTTGGAGAGAGCAAGTCGAGCTGCTGCACTCTGAACCCGTCAATTAGACCCAGGCGTCGGCAATTTTTCCTGTCAAGGCTCCGGCAGTAAACATCCTCAGCTGTGTGGGCCACAAGATCTCAGCATCTCTATGCAGTTCTGTTGTAGCACAAAGGCAGCAACAGAAAATGTTAACAGGAGAGCTGTGTGCCAATAAAACTTTATTTACACAACCGGGCAGCCGGCCAACTTTGGGCACCAGGCCATTGTTTGCCAATGCGTGATTTATTTAGAAAGCCATACTGGTGTCTGCATGGGCTCAGCAGACATTTTTAATCAGGAAAAAGGACCTCTTCCTGTAAGCCAGCCATGACAGGAAACCCATGTAATAGAAACTTAGGTCCTCCTTGGCCCACTCTAGAGGTCAAATGAGCAGCCGAACAGTGTGAGCTGGCTTCCCTCACTGGTGAGGCTAGAATCTGGCCACGGACTTGGGTGTTCTCTTACTGCTGCTACATATTCTGCGTCACCAGCGAATGGCTTTACCCGCAGTGGAAACTGACAAGGAAACCACTTCTGGGAACGTGAGATGGCTAACAGTCCCAAGGACTCAAAGTGCCATTTGGGTTCCAGCCGAGCGTCCACAGCAGCACCGGGGAGAGCGGAGCCCATGGCAGCTCCACGCACAGTGGGGCAGCAAGGTAGGAGCCCGCCCACAGCCCAGAACATCTAGGCCACGGACCACCTTCACCACAGCCAGGCTGGCACCCAACAAGGCTGCTTTCCAAGACCCCACTATGAGGGGAGAAAGAGAAGGCAGCAGTGAAATGAACAACACCAAGGATCATAAGTGAATCAAAGGGCCAAGGGAGGAAAAGGCTGTGACATGACGGGAAAAGGGAGGGGAAGCAGATGGGGTAACGGAACCCTCTCCCACCCTCACGTTGTCCCTTTAGTCCAGTAATCAGTTATAATGATTCAGACAATAACCAAACATCTCAGGTTCTGAAAACTATTGCACAAATGCTGTTCTCAGCTGCTTCCGAGACAGCGCTGCTCAATACGTCTCTGATGTGCTGTTTTAACAACAGTAAGTCCGGCCCTCCACTCCCGTTAAGTCCTACAGTCAAGATACCTGGGTCTTAAAAACAAGTATTTGAGGGCCGGCTGAGTGGCGCACTGGTTAAGAGCTGGCTTGGGATGCCAGCTCTGAGCAGGACTCCGGATCGGATCCCACATGAGGGCCAGTGACGCTGTGCCCTCTACAGCTAAGATGGTGAACAACAGCTCAACCTGGAGCTGGGCTGCTGTGAGCGGCCGTCCAATGGCCAGTGAACGACTGCCTCGCCCGGGAAGAGCACAATGATAATACCAACATGGGCCAAGTGAAGCAACGTCCTCCACAACTAGACTGAAGAACAAAAACGACAGCAACTTGTCTGTTCCCCTTCCCCCGATTACCCAATAAAAATCTTAAAAAAAAAAAAAAAAGTATTTGTTTGATTCTAACTCACTGCAAAGACCAGTGTGGCATGAACAGGCCACGCCCAGACGAGGGCCTGCTGAGGCCCAGGCTGGCTTTCCCTGCGGAGCGGAGCTGGCGCGTGGGAGGGAACCTGCGCCCTTGTGATGCCCACGCACGGGGCTCCCGCTTTGGCCGAGGAGAGACCCACCTATAGGGAAGTTGCTGAAAGCGTTGATTGGGGACGGCCCTTTCTGCAGCTCAGGCGTGCTGTGGGGCATGACGTTTTCAAGGAACGATTTCATGGCTGGCTGATGGAGTGATGGCTGCTGAGATGGCGGCGTCTGCTGCTTCACCAACAGGCTTGGGTCAAGCTGACGGGACTGTTGCACCATCTGCTGCTGCACACTGAGAGGCCGGCCCTTAAGATGACAGAGCGATTGGGGAGAGCTGTGGGGAAGTCCTCACCGAGTCCCCACCACGCTTTCATTCAATCCCCCTTCACGGGGAGGGTCGGCCATTGTGAGGCAATTGGCATGACCGGCAAACAGCACATCTCACTGGTTTGCCAAAGGCATGTCAAGGCTCGTCACAGTGCAGGGGTGGGGGTGGGGGGTGGGGGTCCCAGAGAAAAGGGGGAACCCTGGCCTACCTGTTGGTCGGGCGGCTGCCGGCCCCCAGAAGGCACGCTTCTCTGACTCTGCGCCCTCTGCTGCTGCGCTAACAACCGCTGCAGGGAGATTGCAGACAGGGTGTCGGGATCAGCATCATGCACTGGCACGTTCAGTGACTGGCAGCTGTCCCTAGAGAGGCCCCGCCTCTCACGCCCCCCAACATGTCTTGCCCAGCCTTCGGCCATCGTGCTGAACTCAGCCTTTTGTGCGATCTACACTTGACTTTGTCAGGGAAGTTCCCCGACCGTCCTGTGCCCACACCACGCTGGCTCGGCAGGGCTTGCTCTCCAGCACCCAGCCTATCTGCCCGTGGGGCTTGCTGCCAGGCTTCACCGGCAGACAGTGAGCCCGACAGGGGCCACCACCATGCTGGTGTGTTCCCCGCCCATTCCCGGCACACGGCAGTCTCCCTGACCATATCTGGACAGGCCGCGACTCTGCTCACCTGTAACTGGGAGATCTGAGAAAGCTGGTTGAGTTGGGATAGCTGGTTCAGCATGGCTACCTGTTGAGGGCCAAAGAGCGGGTTCAGGCCCCCGCTGTTGGGCGCGTACTTCAGCAATGACACTGGAACCTTAGAACGACAGCGGGAAGTTAGTAACGCGACAGAGTGATGCAGACCAGCTAAGGGGATTGTGCAGTGTCGGTTGGCAACAGGGCAGTTACATTTGTGGACTCTTCGGGGGTGTTGGAACCCTTGAACTGTCTCTCCCTGCGTCACTAACTTACTGTCACATGTCCTTTCACGGGTTAAGTAAAAGGTGACCAAAGAATCTACATCAGGAGATCTGCTGTACTTGCTGTACCCCTCGAGCTGTGTGACGGCGATGATGGAAACCTCAACCTGCTCTGAGTCACCGTCCTCACGCTTCCTACCTCCTTTTGTAATAGCAGCTAATTCTGAATGAGCTGCCTGTCAAGACACCAGTATAAACGGCGACGGTCGTGTCCTTCAAATGGGGAACTGCACAAGGCCCTGCCCAGGGTCACCGGGGGAGGGGGGGGGCGTGGGTACGGACCTGAGCGGGGAGCAGTGGAGGAGGCACTTGAGCGCGGAGATTAGGCTGCGATGAAGGGAGAGCTTGTGCTGGCGGCGGCTGCACGCCCCGGGCTTGTGCTGCTGTGCTCCCCACACCAAACACGCTGGGGTTGCCATTCTGTAAGGACAAACGGCCAGGTCCTCAGGGGCCACTGTCAGCACACGTGGCGCAACTGACTTCAACACAGTCACGACACACACGAGCGCTCGCATCGCTTCTACGCATCAGTCAACAGAGCCTACAATGCACACGAGCACTTACCTGTCTAACAGAGTTCAAGTTTTGCATACCCAGCCCTGCTATGGAGCCGAGGGCCTGGTTAGGTAGTGCACTATTTGAAGGGGGAAGCTTCACGCTCTGACTGGACATAAACTGCATGTTTTGGGGTTCATCTGCTACAATGCCATCCTGATGGGACAGACAGACAGATGTGCAACACCAGCCAAGCAAACAAGTGGAAGGGAGAAATCATGGCAGGAACAGAAGTCACATGACATTCCAGCATCGACAGGAGACAGGCAGAAAACAGAAGAGAGCAGATTAGTGTTAGTCCTGGAGTACAGAAAAAGAACCAAACCCATTTCATGGGGTTAAGAAGCAAATACAAATGCAAACCCTAGGCTCAGCTGAGACATAAAAAGGACAATGAGCTAGAGGCCCAGTAGGAGGGCTGGCACTGCAGTGGAACGCTTTCTATCAAATGTTCGGAAATACTGGTGAGACAATTAGGCTATTAAGTGCACCGGATCCTTAGGCATAGGGGCAACACAGACATACACACAAACCACCTACCTTATCAAAATAAGGACTGCGCTCCACAGGACACTCTTTGGGAACCTGAGGCCGAGAACCTGGGCCTTTCCCGACCGTCCGACTGTAATCACCAATACTTAGGCTATGCTTATCTATCTCCATCCGTTTGTCCTGTAACATTCCTAATAAATGCAGGAAACTACGTTACCAAGCAGGAAGGCCGCCTCTCTGTTCAGATCAACTCGCGGCAGAAAGAACAACAGTCACTTTGCCAAATGCACGTGCATTCCTCGCAGCTGGATTTAGCAGGTACTGTGACTTTACTGAGTCGGTTATCTTAGCAGTAACAGACCAGCAGGCACAAGCGGGAGACACCTTTGGCCATCTCTAATCTGCTTAACCTTATAATAAGGACACGGTTTCCTATAACAAACGAGCAAACAGCATCCCGACAGACCAACACCTAAGAAATGTTTACTATTGCCGGGCGCTGCCTAGAGGCTGTGGTCCAGCTTAACGCCCGCACCTATTGCGGTCGCCTGTCAGTAAGCCTGACAGGCCGCCATCACCCCCGCAGGCCCCGCTCGGCTCTTTACTCCCCACATCCGGACCTCTCTGCAGTAAACACGGCCTCCTCTCCTAGGAACCCCTACCTGCAAGGTCCCGTTTGCTTGAAACACTCGCCCCCGACTACCATGAGACCTCCACAGACCTTCTCCAAGTGGACACCGCTTGCAGCCCCCACGTCCTCACCGGATGCCTGTGCTGGCTTCTCCCCATGCCCACAGCTGAGCCCACTTGGTCTGTTCAGTTGGGACATGCCAAGGCTCACTCAGTCAGATGCTGGGACGCTCACTCTCCTGGTCCCCAGACTCGTCCAGTATCACAGATCACCAGTCACTGCCATGCATGTGAGCCTCCAATTTGAGTGTCCGCTTTCACGTCACACCCGTGCTCAGCCCACGTCCTTAACTGCCGGCTAATAAGCACAACCACTCAAGTGCCCCACTGTCACTCAAACAGGTGGCACCAAGCCCGTTTCCCCAGGTCCTTCATGGAACTTGGACATGGGATCTTTATCTTCCCAGTCACATAGCCTTGAAACCTTGGTTTCCAGCTTGAGAAGCTATCTTTTGCTCTGTCTCCCTGTTCCTCCTCCCCGCCATGCTCTCGGTCCTCAGCTCTCACCCCCATTTCTCAGCAACGGCCGCCCTTCTTTGGGAGGCCTGCTGCGGCCACAACTCCCACCCTTACTTCCCGCACTGCAGGCAGGTGGGAAAGGAAACCTTTCTAACTAAACAAAAGGAGCTTCCAAAAGGTACATTTTAGAGATGCCCTTGGCTTCCGGGCATATTGCTGCCAGACGGCCGAGACTGTCCGCAGAGGGTGCAGGAGACTCGGGGCCCCAGGACGGCTCCCCGGAAGAGCCCCTGCAGCTCCCACCAGCACCCCGGGGCCATTGTGGAACAGAGCACCTCCAGGAGGGGGTAGCCTGTAATGCCGTGGGGTGACACCTCGGTGACGTCTGCCAGGCAGTGAGCCAAGGCCATGTCCAAGAATCTGGGTAACAGCTTGGGGTGCGGTGGGGCAGGGTGGGGCTCTCCCTTGGGACTGCGATGTTGGGCCTAAGGTCAGCGAGTTCTTGAATCTGCTCTCCACAGCCCGCCATCACCTCTTACTGGCCCATCCATCATCACGCTCCTTACAGCTCTTTATGTTCATATTAAACCTTCCCTGTTCAAATGACTGAGGAGTCTCTCTCCGGCCTGGACTCAGACTTGACACGATCGTCACCGAAGGCCCTCGCAGGAAAGCTGGGGACCGCCTGTTACACGCCCGTTCCTTCACCCTCCACAGCAACTGGCTCAAGCTTTCGATGATCCTAATTCCCACGTCTGCACTGACCACCACCCTCCCACTGACTGTCTCAGCGTGGAGCTTTGAGTCTTCATTCTCACTGGCCACCACGGCAGATCTCTAACCAGTCGGTTCTGCTATGCTTAGCATCATTCTGTCTGTCCTGGCTGCCGACGTGTGCTGTCAGAAGGTATTTCACCCTGTAGCCAAGATTACTTTTCTAAAACATAAATCCCAGTCATGTCAGCCTCCTGCTTCAATCTCTCGAATCCCACACTGTCAGCATGGACTGTGAGCCCCAGGCCCCTCGCCGGCCAGCACTACGTGGCATGTTTGCACCCTCCCCCAGGAGGGCTCCCCTCCGCCCCCACCACTTCCCCAAGCACAGCACCCCTCCGCCCCCCCCCTACTCCTTGTCCCCTGCAGGGACCTAGCTGCCATCGCTGCAGGGTCACAGGCCTGGGCCTGTGTGCACACAGCTCCCTACAGCAGGCCTGCACTCCCCACTCCCCCCGGCTAGGAGAAGTCACCCTGACAGGGCCCTGCTGGAGATGACCATCGGCGGTGTCCCCACGCACGGCCTTAGGTCTGCAGTGACTGGCACTCGGAAAGCACACGCCTCTGCCACAGGGACTCAGGTCCCTGGGTCACAGCCAAGGTCAGGGCTCTTCCAGCAGGGCCGTGGCAGCACAGACACGTCTGTCCATCCAGAGGGAATACAAACTCACAGACTGATCTAACTGTCTTACCTCCAGACAGATCCACCTTATTGCTCTGTGCATTTTCTTCTGGCGAGTCTCTCTGAAGTTAAGAAAAAGCAGCATGTTAACAGCCCTTAAACTTAATTTATCAATGAAAATACATAAAAGTGGAGAATTTTATTTTATTTCATGATTTGTGAAATGCAAGTGGATCATAAAACTTCATTTTTCACTGCCTAATAAAAAAATTCTTTTTAGCTAGAAGATACGCAACCCGATCAATGGTTTTAGCTTGAACTGTAACAATAAAGGCTTCGTGGCCAATTTTTCTCTAACATCAAGCTTATTCATATGGCCTCAAAGATGATTTGTTAGGAAAGAAAAAAGTGAAATGAGGGTAAATTTATGGGCCACCATTAACAGGGGAGGGGGCAGCTAGGAAAACATACTTACCGAAAAACTGATATTTGAAAACTGCTTAACAAATGGGTTTATCCAGGCTTCTTCCTGTTTGTTTCCACCTTTCATCACTCCCTTTGTAAAATAAAAGAGTAGAAAGATGCCATGGCCACCTCTATTTATCTGGGCATTGTGACGGATTAATCAACTTCAAGACAATTCCCAACTCTCATTTTTAGCCAATTTCTCCTCCAATCAACTCTTAACAGACTTTGTTAACAATTAAAACTCAACTTATTTGATTTTCAACTTCCTTTGCTCCAGCCCTCTGGTATAGCTGTAATGCACAGAGAAACCTACAGGCAAAGCAGTCAGAGGGAAACAGCAGAGCCAAGGGCCTCGATGACCCCGAAAAGGTCCGCCGGATAAGCCCGAATCCAATTTACAAACAGACTGTGTTCTGAGGGTTAATTATTATATAATTTGGATCTTAGAATTCTCACACCAAACCAAAGTGAAAACAGTTACTGGGTTCTCAGGTGAGTCCAAAGAAGCCAATTTAACTGGTAATTTAATTATGCCCCGTGCACTGCACAACAAAAACGCCGTATGTTTCCACATGGCAAAGTATTGAAACATTTCAGGCCGTGGTGCCAAGAACACACTGCCCCCTACTTGGTGTTGGCTTTGCGGGGCTGGCCGGGGTGTGGGTGGCGCAGGACACCTGGGTCTGTGATGGGCCGGAGGCTCGGGACGCTCACAGGACCACACTGTCCGCTGCCTTCATCTCTCTGGCCCATTGCTACCAGCCGTCCCTTTTGACTGAGGAAAAGAGCACAGCTTCTCTCCCAAGTGCAGGTCTCTGAAGCAAGCGCCTAGCCCTTCCGAGGTGCTGCAGCCGGCTGACTCCTTTTCCTCTCTCCCCTGCCCCAGCCTGCGGGCTGCTGCGGCCTCGTGCCCTGGTCCTCCAGTGTCTCTGATCGGGCCCTTGCACTAGACCTCCACACCGGCCCCCCGCCCAGGCCTCCTCTCTAACCTGCGCGATCAGGGCTTCCTAACTGCCACCCTGACGCTGGGCCCTCCTTGTCCCCACTTATCTTTCATTCTCTGCTTAGCATTCTCTAGAGAAATTAATTTTAAAAGCCAGCTGATGTTGCCTTCTATTCAACGTCACTGGCTCCATATTTATACAGATTGAAATTCTTTGGCTCGGTATTGAAAACACTTTACAATCCGCCCATAATCTAACTACAGAGCCAGATCTCGTCACTTCTTTCCAGCGACTCTACCTTCCAGTTAGTCCGGCTTCCATTCTCCTCACACCCCCCGCCCCACGTGCTCCGCACCCCAGCTGACACTGCTTGGTGCTCTCCTCTGCCCCGCGCTACACGCTGAGCTCCTCGAAGGTGCAGCTACTGTTCTGAACCCCCAGCACCAAGCACAGTACCTGGCACACAGCAGAGGCTAAGTGAGGGTTTGCAGTTGCTTTCTAAAAGATTTTTACTAGTAGAAACAAAGGACAAAGAGTAAAAAGGCTACACACCCTTTCCCTTCTCCTTTTTTTGCCACTCAGACCCTGTAAGGAAAGACAAAGTCACAAAACAGCACAGTCCATGGGAGGGGCACAGGGTCCCTGCTCTGTCACTGACTTGTCACGCCGCTGTGGGCAGGCCACCACCTCTTCCAGCCTCAGGTTCCTCAGGACTATACCTCAGAAGGTTACGAGGAACGATGACTCACATGACATGTGCAAAGTACTTTATAAGCTACATGTGAGGCGGGAGGCCAACTCAGCCAGATGGAGACATTCTTTACATGGAGATGGCAGGTCCCAGACCTCGAATCCCAGGATTCAGAGAGGGACCCGGCAGTCAGCTCGGTGTGCGAGTGGGTAACTGGCTCCAGGGTGTCTCCAAAGTAACGATTCTCAAACAGCTGGGGAGGGCGTGAGAATCACCTAGGGACAGGAAGTGGTCCCCAGGAGAAGCAGACAGCAGCACCAACCCCACCTGTTAAGAGCCGCGCTGTCAGCCGGTGGCTCTCAAACCCGGCTCCGTGGCAGAAACACCGGGGAGCTTGTCTGGGAAAGAAACATGGTTCACTTCCCACGCCACGGCAGGCCTGGGGGACAGGGAGCTGCACGTCTAACAAACGCCACGGGGTTCTGACGTACAGCCAGGTCTGGGAATAAGATCTGTCCACGTGTGAAAAAAGCAAGACCGAGCCTGGCTCACTCCTAGGGATTTCTGTCACAGGACCTTGCGGGATGGGAGAATGAATGAGGAGGATGGCGACGCTGGGTGCAGGGGAGGGCGGGGACGTGAACTGGCGGCGGGATGGAGAGTCCCGGGAGGTGTGCCCTGCTCTCCCTGCCACCACGCCACCCCCGTGGGCAGCCCCCTGGCGCAGGGGAGGAGAGAAGCCCCAGCTGCAGCGGTGGGGACAAAGGAAGTTCTCCATTGTCTAGGTGGCTGCCCACACGGCGCTACGCCTAAGTCGGGGCCACCTGGCTGCACTGGGTACCGCGAGAGGGCAGGCAGGATGCTCGTTTTCTGTGGGTAAACTACCTGTGGAATTTCAAGCTTCAAGGGCTTTGCCCTTGAGTGTTTACCTTCGATGACATTTTCTTTGTATATGGCGGCCAATTTAAAGACGCGTTGAGCTCTTGAGATGAATTACTATTCCACATCCCAATCTCCACGTCCTCCTCGTCCTCCCAGCCGGTGGGGCGGTTTGCAGGCAGTGGCATGTCCTCGCCACACCAGCCATCTTGCATAGGTTTTGGCCCTGATGGTGAATTTGTGACACAAAGAGAAACATACTTTAATAAAACAATTCTTTCTGGAGGACGAGCATACGTTAATTAAGTGGTGGGGAGAACAACCTAAAAACTCCACTTTTATTTCCCTTCTCCATTCACATACCAGGAATGTATGTTTATACTGAGTTAAAAGTTCCATGAAACAAGAATTTATCTTTATTACACATTTCAGTAAAATACCTTCCATGCTTTTGCAAATGAATCGCAGGGTCCCTAAAGGGGAACAGTGGTGGCGCTCCTGTTCACACTCACTTAACATGGTGACACTGGGCAGAGGGTGGGTGACATCTAGGAAACTTGGTTTTGATACATATTTTCAAGGCTTGTGGCCAAAATTATGGCAAGTCACAGGCAGAAAGGACCCCACCTCCACACCCTGTCTTTGAGTTCCTATGGGGTGTCCCTGACACAACCTATGGGGCCAGGACAGTGTCCCCTGGACAGCGGGGGTCCGCCCTGAACTTTGGTAATTTCTGTACAATATTCAGGGAATCGTCCGGAACCTGAGCCAGCCAGGTTGGGTGTGTGTCCCCGTGACCATTACATTCAGTCTCTCACGTTGGAAAGCCTAAAAGTTGCTTGACTATTTCCAGATAATCTAATCTGGTAAAATATGATTTAGCTTTGGTAAAGTACATGCAAATCATTAATAGGTAAAGCTATAAGGAAAAAGAGAAAAGATAGGAAAATTCAGAAAGATGAAAGAATGCTACCATTCAACGAGCCACAGAGCATCGTCTAGTACAATGATGACACATGGCCACCTCAAAGACGACAAACATTATCCAATCACGTAACTAGCCAACGAGGTCACCCGGCTACACAAGAGCTACCAGGACCATCAGTAACTTACCAGGTTTGCTTAACACTTGTGGACCAACAGAGCCGGAGCCCCACGTGGGTGTGCTGGACGCCGCAGCCATGGGCTCCCCCCAGCTGGGACCACTGTCAACGGGCTTGCCCCACGCTGAAGTACCGTTATCCACAGTTGTGGCCGCAGCAGGAGGGTCCCCCCAGGGCTCACCCCAGCCTTTAGAAAGTGTGGGAAAAGAAGGCATCAGCACACGGCAGGGTACAGCGGGGCCCGAGAAAACAGGGACACTCAGGGAACGACAGACGAGGAACTTCACATTTATGGACCAAACACGGGTGCCGTGACAGGCCCAAAAGGTGGCATCGGTTTTGCCAAGGAGACAAATCGTTTCCCGTCACTGTCATGTAACTGTCACGCGTGCGTGTTCGTTTCACCTCTCGTTCCTAACTGCCCTCTGGGTGGAGGGCAGACGCATTTGAAAAACCTTAATTATGGCACGTCATCCTCCTCTGAAGATGAATTTAATTCCTGGAAAGTTACTGTGAACCAAACCTAATGAATTAAAACAGGTGGTCAAGCTGGGTAACAGTGTGTGTACGGAATTTTAACCTTAAGTGCAGCCTTTCAACATCCCTGTTCTGGAAAAGCATGAACCACAAGGCCAATGACAGGCAGGCACCCTGCCTCTCCACCTGCTGGACAGTGCTTATTACTGGGTTGTCCAAAGCAAAGCCATCAGCGTCTTGTTTAAGAGAAACCACACAGCCGTCCGCGCAGACACACAGCTTCTTCTAAGTGAACCTAAGTGAGCACAGAGCGCCACACTCGGGAGAGAAGGCTGGTCTGAAAGGTCATGAGAACACTCCCACGTCTGTGTCCAGGTAACAAGCACATCACATCCCAGTGAGACTCCCGGCAAAGGTCACAGTCGGGATGACGGGCAGAGACAGAAAGGAGCCCCGTTATAAGGGGGAGGTGGCAATGTGCGGGGATGGTGTTGTCCCGCGTGGTAAGCACACACTGTGTCTACAGACTGGATTTCACGCTTACTTAAGCCGCTTCTAAGACCAAAAGTAGTACCCAGTGTTTAGGGAATTGCTGTGACCACTCCTTTGATTTCTGAGGACGTTTTACTGCGATACTAAAAGCAAACAGTCACGGCCTGGCTCAGAAGTGCAGAGCAGAGTCCGGCATCCCCGCTGGACAGCACCCTTCCGGTTCTGCCCCTGCAGCTTTCCTAAGCGACAACAGTCCGAGGGCCGCCGGAGGCACAGCTGTTCCCAGCGTGCACGCAGCCTGTGTCTCCTGCCTTCGTGTGCACATCCCCACACTCTGCTGGGCCCACCTCACGGGACACTACACCCACACCAGGATCATGACTCTGGGCCGAGCCTCTCAGTCCAGAGGACCCCCCACCCCACCCCGTGAGCACTTACCGGAGCCGCCGCCGGCCTCTGGGTTGGAGCTCGCACTTGCAGACGGCAGCAGCTGGTGTACCGGTGCTGGCTGGTCTGAGCGGCTGCCGTTCGGGACATTCCTGTCCCACATGTTCACATTTTTGTAGCTGTATTTGCTGGGATCTCCCCAAGCTGAAGTCCCATCGTCAATCTCCATTTTACGCCGGATGGACTCTGGGGACGGCTCCTCCCAGCCGCTGGGCTCTTCCTCTTTGGCTGGGGCTGGAATCGGTCCTCCCAGCCAGCCCGTACCCGAGGGTTTGCCCGGGGCTGGTGGGAGTCCCCAAGACCCGACAATGTCCTGTTGCTTGTTCCAGTCTGGAGAGCTGACTGGCCTCGTCGCCTCTCCCCAGCCCAGAGACTGACCAGGCTTTGGAGGCTCTCCCCATCCCTGGGAAGGGCTGGGTTTGGAAGATTCATCCCATCCTGATGAGTTATTTGGATTTAAGTTATTTCCCCAAGTAAAAGAACTAGTTTTACCAAGTTCGTTCCAACCAGAAACAGACCTGTCACTGTCACTGCCTCCTGAGCTCGACTTCTTATTGGCCTCACCCCAATGGTTACTCCTCGACGCGTCCGCCCAGCTGTCGCCAGAAGCGACAGCCCACCCCTGGTTTGCTTTCGGCCCATCCCCCCACCCCTGCTTGTTCTTTTGCGAATCATTCCACGTGGGCTTGTCCTTGCAGCTCCCCCACTGATTGCTCTTGGCCGTTCCTGTAGCAGCATCGTCCTCCCACCCGCCCTGGCAGCTCGGGCCTTTGGAATCTGCCCACCGCAGAGCAGGCCTGGGCTCTCCCCACCCCGCCCCAGGGGAGGCGTCACGCCCGTCAGGGCCCGTCTTCTCTGCACATGCCCCTGAGTTACACGTCTGGGTCACAGAGCAGCCCCAGGCCTCGGTGCCGTTGTCGGGCTTCCTTTCCCCGCTGGGCAAGGTCTCGGTGTCCCAGGCAGTGTTCTGCTTGATAGGAGTCTGGCCCCAGCCGGCATTGGATAGGACGCGCGGGTCCAGGTCGGTCCTGCCCACCACGCTTTGCAGCAGCGAGTGCTGGTCGGCCTTTCTCCTGTCTCTGCTCTGACTCTCCCCGGCCGCTTTGTCTTCCAGGCGCCCAGTGCTCTCCGTGTTCCCCTCACTGTCCCCCGGCCCTCCTGCCGTGGCCCACCCCCCACCCTGCTCGCTGGTCTGAGACGTGCCGGAGCCCTGATCCTCTTCCTCAGCAGATCTCCATCCGTTTGTAAACTTCTTTCCGTTGCCATTCGCACTGTCACTGGAATGCTGATTGCTAGGCAGTTTGTTCCACTCCACACCAGGGACATTGGCGCCCGTGTTTTGTGCAGGGGCTCCCCACCCCCTCCGACTCCCTCCGGAAGTGGCGCCGTGGGCACTTCCCCAGGGCACGCCCTGGGCACTGGCTGGCGCTGCCTCCCACACGCCTCCACCCTTGTTTGTGTTCACCTGGAAGTTGGGGCCTGCAGGCCCATTGGCGCCCGGCTGCATTAGCGTTGCGTTCACAGTGTCACCAGGAGCTTGGCCATTCGGGCTCACACACGTGTCCCCCGAGTAACTGGAGCCGTACGCCCCCCACGCAGTACCATAAGAGCCTCCACTTTGGGCCTCCCCATTGCTAAGGTGAGCGAGGGGCGTGCTGTTCGTAACCACCGGAGCCTGGATCTGAGGATGGGTCACTGTGCTCACGCGCCAGGCCCCCGGGTTCACAGGCAGCTCATTGCTTGGTGCGGAAGCGGAGTTTGGTAAACTAGAGGTCATGAAGTTAGTAGTGTCATTTGGCCCAGCCATGTCAGTGGTGACATTCTGCGGGGGACCACTGAATGGAACCTTCTGTGTGCCACCTACTTCGGATTCTCCAGCTTCCTGAAGGGCCCCCCAGGCCCCGGGAGGAGCGGAACCACCCCCTTTAGAGTTAGGATTCTGGCTGTGAGGCCCCTGGCCCGTGCTGCTGCACTGGGCACTTGTGCCAGCACCGCCGCCCCCTGCAGGCCCTTTCAGGGTGAGGCCGCTGTTCTCTAACACTGGCCAGGCACCGTGGCTGCTCGCTGAATTCAAAGTGCTCAGGTTTAAGCCTCCATTTGATGAAGAACCTACACTGCCCCAGGCAGGCATCCTATTCGTGCTACCTTCTGACTTGCTCTCCGGAGCATCCGCAGGCACCTGACATGTGCTTATGACGGCCCCGTGGGCGACACCCCAGGGCCCAGGGCTACCTCCGGGCCCCGCGCTATTGCCGCTGCTGCCAACCACGAACTTGTTCTGGGAGCCCAGCCCAGTGCTGTTCCGAAGGCCATCCTTGTCACCCCCCGTGCTCCCCGAAGCCATGGCAGCGAGGTTTCTCTCGGACTCAGAACCGGAGGCAGAGTCAGCGTCCATACATTCTGAAGCCAGCGCCTGGTCAGTGCCTGGGGCCGAGGGCCATGCTGCTTTCTCCGGGGGGTCACTCACAACGGCATTCTTACAGGTTGGGCTAAAGTCACTCGTAGAAGGCGCAGGTCCCCGCGGCGAAGTTTCATAATGGGATCCGGAATTGCTGTGGTTTGTATCTAGAATAAAGGAGAAACAGCCAATTTTACAAAGTGTTTGAAAAACTGACGACTCTTATGATACACCTACGTGGCTCCTTGGTGGCACAACTATAACACTGGCAGTACGGTTAGAGGGCACTGGTTCCGTGGCAGCCATATCCCACAGCCGGCACCAACCCCACACGGGCAGGTAGCTGTGTGCCGGGCCACCTCCGGGGCCCTGAGAGCCCAGAGTAGTCCAGGGACATGAGGCTGCCACCAATATATTTGCTGAATAAGCAAACTGCTAACTCAGAAGTAAGTGGGAGTCTGTAATCAGGAAGGACTCTGTGCAGCCAATGGTATAT